TATATATATATATATATATATATATATATATATATATATATATATATATATAGTGTTCCCAAAAGAAGGTACCAAATTTTAGGGGTACGTAGTACACGTTAAAACAAACCAAAAACTCTTAGTGAACAGTACTCCTAAAACCTTTTATTTCTGAGTTATGAAGTATTTTGTTCTGTGAAAAATAGAAAATAAATTAAATCTACAATAAATGTTCAATGTGTATGAGCCTTCGGCTCATGTCAATACACATTTCGGCATGTTTCGTCATTGAAGATCAAAGAATCCAGGTTTATTTCGTATTTGTTGACAACAGTTTCCAAGTCTCTTAGTCAGTTCATTCACGGACGCCCGTATGTCACCATTTAATTACGCAGGGATTATTGTATTCAACTTTGGTTTGTGGACCGTGTCTAGTTTTGTTATCTGAAAAATGGCTAATTTTTACACAAATTCTGAAATGACGGGTATTCATTTTATGTATGGCAGAGCAAACTGTTGTCAACAAATACGGAATAAATTCGGAATCTTTGAACGTGTTCGATCTTCAATGAGGAGACGTGCCGAATTGTGTGTTGAAATGGACGAAGGACACATTAAACATTTATTGTAAATTTTAATTATTTTCTATTTTTCACAGAACAAAATGCTTCATAACTCAGAAATAAAAGGTTTTCGGACTACTGTTCATTAAGAGTTTTTGGTTTGTTTTAACGAGTATTACATACCTCTAAAATTTGGTTGGGAACACCCACCTTTTGGGAACACCCTGTATGTACCATAGAAAGGAGGAGGGCGTACTAGGCAATGGGATGTCGTGCGGTCGAGATTTGAGTCTTCTTTTCGTTTTGGAGAGAGAAAAATATTAAAAGCGCGGTTTACGTCGGCCGGGAATCGAATCCGGGTCTTTCGCTTGCCGGGCGACTGCTCTAAACTACTGAGCTACTTGACGTTCCACGCTCATGACACTCCTCTCTCCCCAGATAACGTTCAGATACAGACATACTAGACAAACATGTGTGTCACTTCTCCTCTTTCCTTCTCCTCACCGACTACACGATTAGACAAGGAACGCCTTACTGGACACCATATAATATTACTATATGGCTAGCGGAGAAATTTCCTATAAACAAGAATGAACCAAATATTAAGAATAAAAAATAGACGGTTATTGGCTCTATAGAAAAGAATGAGGGAAGTATCCCATGATTGCAATGCAAATTTTACGCATGCGCTTTACACAGATAGAACACTGATATTGAACAGATAAAGACAGACGAGCATTGTCTATACCGTAGTTACAGTACAGCTGAGAGTACAGCTCCGCTAGCCATATAGCAATATTACATATGTGCTGAACGTATACATTTGTCCTTTCATCTTGGCTTCCCTGGTAAAAAAAGTTTATAGAGAACGATAGAATAAAATTCTATTGTTCTATTATTTTCTATTGTTTTGAATATGGATTTTGATTCGTGAATTCACAAATGTGAATAGTATTTGTATACGATAGAATACAATAGATAGTGATAGAATTTCTATCGTCAGTTTCTTATATAATACAAATAAAACCCGATTTTTATAGAACTAGATAAAATATGATAGGATTTATATCTGATATTCGCGAATGCTGACGCTTGCGAACACGATAGAGCTTATAGAAAACAATACAAATTGATAGAAATTCTATCGTTCTCAATCGTTCTCTGTCAACTTTTATTACCAGGGTTCACTCACTTCTTCTATAATTTATTCACAGACTTCTATAATTTACAAGACTGCTAACTTCCTATATTTCACTTATATAAAATGGCCACAAAAAGTATATACAAAAAGATTCAATTCTGCATGAGCAAACTGAAGAGATTAACGTAATGAAGACTCTAAAATAAGGGCCATCAGAGGTTTCCCTGGTAAAAAAAATTTCCCTGGTAAAAAAAGTTTAAAGAGAACGATAGAATAAATTAATTATTCTCTATCGTTTTGAATATGGATTTTGGTTCATGAATTTACAAAATGTGAATAGTTCTATCGTATACAATACACGGAGAGAAATCATAAAGGATTGATAACCATGAATATTTCTGTAAACTAATTACTAATACAACAATATTTTTTACATATAATAACGATCTCAATTAGTAGATTAACTAGTTGTTATATAAGATGTAACTATTTGAATATTCCTAAGTAGATATGATTGAAGCATACGATTAATTGCACGAGTATGATCATATAACTATATTAAGTCCTCCGAATAATTGCTGATTTTCTAAATAAAAATATGTACATGCCCAGCAAAAGTATCCTCTTAAGGCATACATTAAATATTATGAATGTAGACATACGTATATCTACTGCAGCTATACGAGTCTCGAACATATAAGTATGGTCAGTTTAACCATGCGTATACTTAGAATAGAGCGCGCCTCTATCTCCTTTAAACGAATAAATCATGCCTGTGATCGTGTTTTTAAAACAATCGAAAATCGTTTTCGGCGGTTCACGAATGCTTTGTAGGGTACGGTGACATTTTCTGTGTAACATGTAAGTATACTCTGTATTTTTTATATTGTTTACTGTCGTTTAGATAGATTTGGAAATTATTTTACCCTACGGTCCGATTTTCGCGAGCAACGCCTACTTACTTCTCTCTTCGTCGCTCGGCAGGCCACCAAGTTGACAATTGCAGTCGACTGTCAGTTTCCTAACCTGTCGAGCGTGACGGGGAAATAAATAAGCGTTACTCGCGAAAATTAGGTCATACATAAACAACTCATAAACTTGAAATGGATTCTTTCGTGAAAACGAAACTTCAAGAATGGAGTCTCGCAACTTTTATTCCAATGTTCGAAGGTAAACCTCAGACAGCACAAGATCTCCAAAGGATGTCCCGGACGTTTTCAAGACATAGGGACGTTCTCAGAATGTCCTTAGGAACCCTTATAGAGATCTGTGTTGTTTGGGATGTAATTCTTTGAACTAGTGCTGGGAGTTCAGGATATTTTCTAGCTGACAGGAGCCTTTCTGCATATGCGTGAGATGACGTAGCAGCTCGACGTAAGCAGTTTCCAATGACGGCGTTAGGTACGAGTAGAGGATTTTTAGAGGATTTTTACATGCATAAAATACTCAGCCGTCTGTCTGTTGTTGTTTGCCCGCGAGTGGTTAGGTTAGGTTAGATGTAGTGAAATGTTACAATAATAAATTAGCATAATTAATATAGTTATAATAATTAGTGTAGCTGTGTGTATGAAAAAATGTGATAATATAATATGTATATATATATTATATATTTATAATAAATAAAATGTGATAAAAAAGTGCAAATTTAATATAAAGTGATACTGTGATAAGAAAAAGTGCAATTATAATATTAAGTTAATTAAAGAAAAAAATGCCGTATTGAAGAAAGAAATGGATCAACAACAGCCTTCGTCATCAAGTGGCATCGAGGAAAAGAAAAAGAAATGTGTGAGAAAAAAATTCCAGAATGCATGGCTAAATATGAATATTTTCAAAGATTGGTTGGCATCGTATGAAGACGATGAAAAAGTTCTCTGCACAGCTTGTAATAAGATGTTAATATGCAGAAAATCAAATTTAATTTCACATTCTAAAACAAAAAAGCATGTAGAAAATATGAAGAGTCGTAATGTCAGTTTATCTGTTTCATTGCCTGTTAAATATAATAATACTTACGTGGACCATGTTACTAAAGTAAAAATAGCGGAGATAAAATTATCTGCCTTTTATGCAACACATAATATAGCTTTTGAAGTAGTTCATGACATGGTTCTTTTGCTAAAAAATATTTTTACAGATTCACAGATAGCTAAAGATTTAACATTGTCATGGAGAAAGTGTACGCTAATTATTAAAAATATTTTGGCTAAACGCGAAAGTGAGAAACTTGTTAATAATTTATTAAATAATAAATTTTCCATTTTACTAGATGAAAGTACAAGTATTACAAATGATAAAACGCTTTGCATTTTAGTTAAATATTTTTCTATAGAAAATAAAACAGTTGTTATACAATCATTAGAATTAGTTTCTTTAGATGCAACAAATTGTTCCGCAGAAAAATTATATTCTGCATTTGAACAGTGTTTTAAAAGTAAGAGGATACCAATATCAAATATTGTAGGAATGGTTTCTGATAATGCTTCAGTTATGATAGGTGATTATAATTCTTTCATAAGTAAATTAAAGAAAGAGGTACCGGCTCTCATTGTATTAAAATATATATGCCATTCCTCAGCTCTTATCGCAAGTAAAGCTTGTGCAAAATTGCCGGATTCTTGTGAAAATCTTTTATACGCTACATATTTTTCTGGCATTGCTAAAAAATCAGCTATTCTGTGTGAGTTTCAAGCATTTTTTGGAGTAGCATCAAGAAACATTTTAAAATTATCAGATACAAGATCAGGTACTCGTCTTGCAAAAGTGTGTTGAGAGACTTCTCGATAATTGGGAAGTTTTGAAACATTACTTCAACTTGAAATCTTTTGAACATAAAAATAACTCGGCATATTTAATTTCTAATTCTTTAAACAATAAAATTTTTAAAGCATACATGTTGTTTTTGAAGTATTCTTTAACTTTTTTTAATACTTTTAATGCTTTGCATCAGTCAAGACAAATCTTAATTTATAAAATTGTTGAGAATTGTGAGCAGTTAATAAAACAGATAGGAAAAAATTTTTGATATGTAATGTTTTAAATAATATTTCTGATAATATTTTAAATCCGGAAAACTTTTTACCAGTTAATTGTAATGTCAATGTTGGTTCAGACTGTGAGTCATTTTTCTTAGCAGAATGTCCAGATTTTCATATTGAAGTAAAGTCGAATTGTCTGCAATTTTATATTACCGCGATGCAAGAAATGCTGCATCGTTTTCCATACAATGATGAAATCTTGCGCAAATTGAAATTTTTAGATCCCGAAGTAGCTTTGTATGAGGAAAATAGAGTCTTATTTCCAAATTTAACGAATGTAGCAAAACGTTTCGGAATATCTGACATTATGACTTTATATAATGAATGACAAATTTTACCTTCATAATTTAATGACGCGAATAAAATTGTTTTGGCCAATTTTGAAATTCTTGAAATGTGGAACACTATTTTTTGAGAAAAAAAAATTGTAATAATGAAACGTTCTTTCCAAATTTAAAAAAATTAGTACATGCTGTTTTATCTCTTCCACATTCTAATGCTGAAGCAGAGAGGATTTTTTCAATCGTCACTGATGTCAAGAATAAAAAGAGGAATTGTATTAATATCACTTCCTTAGACTCAATCCGCAAAATACGATCCAGCTTTTAGGCTCATAATGTAGATTTTAGCACTTTCCAAGTTGATTTTAGACACTTGGAACTGCATAATACTATAAATTTGTATAAAGAAAAGAATTTAAAAGTTCAAATGATACCAAAGATTTTAATGATGATAATGAGTATGAAGATAATATTAATTTTGATGAAATATAGACTGTAATATTTTATTTTAATATTAGCTTTTTAATATTTTTTTATTACTGAGATTAACTTTATATTGTTACATAAAAATTAACATTTATTATTATATTATACTACAGAAAAAATTTCTTTTACAGATTTAAAAATATTTAGTTATTTTTATTTGTCATGCTGTCATTGTCTTCCATATTTTGGAGCACTGGCACTTCTTCTCTTTTTATTCTGTTTATAAATTCATTAATTAACAATGCATTTCTGTCACAATAATTTCGAACAGATCTTCCCTTTAATAGATAATTTTTTTTTATATAATCATATACTTTTTATTATTTTTTATTTTCACATTTTCTGACAAATTATTTTTTATGCAATAATGATAATATTTTTTTTTATGTGATAGAATGTATCATATCCATGCAGTGCAATATTTTTTTTTATATTATAGATTTCTTATTACTTTATATATATATATATATATATATATATATATATATATATATATATATATATATATATATATATATA